GATCCTGCTGAAGCACAGAGGCCGATCATCGATGAGGCGCCGGTGTTCTACCCGTCTTTAGAGGTAACTGATTGCCTTTCTCTGGTTTCCGATAGAGTTTGGAAGGTTTGATCTTCGTTTCTCCGTTCTTGTTTACGCTTTTCTTTCTTTTCCTCTCGAGGTTTGATTGCGTTTTCGGTGTTTTTTGTCATCAGGAGTTTGAAGATACGCTTACTTACATAGAGAAGATACGACCGTTAGCTGAATCGTTCGGTATATGCAGAATCATTCCTCCATCGACATGGACTCCGACCTGTCGTCTGAAGGAGAAATGTATATGGGAGAATACGAAATTTCCGACCCGGATTCAGAATGTGGACCTTCTTCAGAACCGGGGGCCGATGAAGAAACCCAAGAGCAGGAAACGGAAACGGAGAAGGAACTCGAGAATGGGTTCATCGAGGAGACGGACTGGCACTGGCTCTGGCTCTGAATCAGTTTCCTCACCCGAGAATGAGGAGAAATTCGGTTTCAATTCAGGTTCAGACTTCACTCTCGAGGAGTTCGAGAAATATGCTCGGTATTTCAGAGATTCGTATTTCGAGAAGAAAGATTCCGTCGGGGATACAAAATGGACTCCATCCGTGGAGGAAATCGAAGGGGAATACTGGCGGATAGTTGAGCAACCGACTGATGAAGTGGAGGTACAAAAATCCGCCCTTTACCGAGATGATTTTCCCGATATCGAATGCCTGATTTCCCTTTTCTCCCTGTTTCAGGTATACTATGGTGCCGACTTGGAGAGCGGTGTACTCGGAAGCGGATTTCCGAAGGGAATTGAAACATTAACTGGAAGCGGCGACATGGATCAGTACATAACTTCGGGTTGGAACTTGAATAACTTGCCACGTCTTCCGGGCTCTGTCCTCTCTTTCGAGCACTGCGATATCTCGGGAGTTCTGGTTCCATGGCTTTATGTCGGGATGTGCTTTTCTTCATTTTGTTGGGTATGTCTCTCTTCCTCGATGCTTTTTACTCTACAGGGTTGTGAATTTATGCCCGAGTTTTCGATTTTTTTTTGGGTCGGAGCAGCATGTGGAGGATCATCATCTATATTCACTGAACTATCACCATTTTGGCGAGCCGAAAGTATGGTACGGTATCCCGGGAAGCCATGCGACCGCGCTCGAGAAAGTGATGAGAAAACATCTGCCGGAATTATTCAAAGAACAGCCCGATTTACTTCACGGACTGGTAAGATGAACGGCTAAGTTTCCTTTCCGCCCCCTTTTTGTCCCGTTTATCGTACTTGGGGATAACGACTGAATCTTTATTTTTTTCAGGTTACTCAGTTTTCGCCTTCTCTTCTAAAAGAAGAGGGTGTCCCGGTATATCGGGTGGTTCAGAATGCCGGAGAATATGTACTGACGTTCCCGAGGGCATATCATGCCGGATTCAATTGCGGGTTCAACTGTGCAGAAGCGGTGAATGTGGCGCCGGTCGATTGGTTATCTCATGGACAGAACGCCGTCGAATTATACAGTAAAGAGACTCGGAAAACGTCTCTGTCTCATGACAAGCTTCTCCTCGGGGCGGCTCGGGAAGGTATCAAGTCCCTTCGGGAACTCTCGACCCCCGGGAAGGAAAATAGGAAGAATTTACGATGGAAGAGCTTCTGCGGAAAGAACGGAACACTTACCAACGCGATTCAGGTGAGAAAATAATGTTACCCACATCTCTATATCTCCCGGGAAGATTGAAATGAGGCTAACTGGTTCATTGTTCTGTATTCTAGGCTCGGGTTCGGATGGAAGAAGAAAGGATCTCAGCTCTTGAAAACGAGTTCAGCTTTATGAAGATGGAGAAGGACTTCGATTCGAACTGTGAACGGGAATGTTTCTCGTGCTTCTATGACTTGCATCTCGCGGCCTCCGGTTGCAAGTGCTCTCCCGACGAATACGCTTGCCTTAAACATGCGGACAAGCTTTGTTCGTGCGAAGGGAACGATAGATTCGTCCTTGTACGTTACGATATCGACGAGTTGAGATCTTTGGTGAGAGCATTGGAAGGAGAAACAGATGATCTGAACATATGGGCTTCGAAAATGGGCATCGAACCAATCCAAGATCAGACCGAGACCCAGAACGGGAAATCTAGTTTCGGTTCCTCTACCGTTACCCCAAATGCTGATTCGGTTATCGGGGAGGAAAAGAAGGTAAAGGAGGATCCTTTCGATCTGAATGTAGATCTTCAAATGGATGATATTGCAGAAACCGTAGCGAAAGAGGAAGAGGTCAGCACGAGCTATGGCGTCCCGATGACGAATTTTGGTGCAACCGTCGAGCCTATAAATCTCGGGTATCTGGTTTTCGGGAAGCTCTGGTGCAATAAGCACGCCATTTTCCCGAAAGGTAATAATATCTCGAACGGCAAAGCTCGAACTTAGAAGAAAGAAGCATTTAACCGAGCGTTGAGGTTTTTGTTCGTTTTCATTTTTACAGGGTTTAAGAGTCGGGTCAAGTTCCTTAACGTGATCGATCCGACGAGAATAAGCAGTTATATATCCGAGGTTGTCGATGCGGGACTTCTCGGCCCACTGTTTAAGGTAATAATAACACTCCTCGGAAATCCGGAAGAAACCAAGGAAGTGAGCGGCATAACTCCTATCAGGGTGCCTTTTTCGGGTTTCGGTTCGGTTTTAAAACATTATAATCATTCGGTTTCGGTTTTTATTGTTAAAAATACTCATTTTCTCACAACAGTTTCCAGTTTTTTATTTCGTTACTTTTGTTTGGATTTGGGTTTTTTCGGTTTAGAAAAATCATAACCCATTCGGGTTTTTTCATCGAATTCGGTTCAAATCGGTTCGGTTATTAAGCGGAATTGGTAATACATATGGATGTTTGTTATTTTCAGGTCACTATGGAAGAATCGCCATGGGAGAGCTTCTCCAATGTTTCTGCACAGAATTGCTGGGAAATGGTTTTGCAGAGAGTTAACGAACAACAACACCGCCTCTCTTCTCCGCCTCTCGATAGCATCGACGGGTCCGAGATGTTCGGGTTTCGCTCTCCGTCCATAATTCAGGTAAAACACTTAAAAGTAAAATCTCGAACCGAGTTCTCGCTCTCGGTAGAGATAGATGTCTCGGAGTTCAGTTCAAGTTCGGTTCCGGTTTTCATGGATAAAAATGCTCATTTTTCAATGAATTTTTTCCCCGGTTTCGGGTTTTTCCCGCAGGCGATCGAGGCTCTGGACCCAAACCATCGGCTGGGCGGGGGACGAAAGATCCGTTCGGGTCGGCATGTTCATTGAGCGTGACGAAAGGAAAGCTTTTCGGCGTTTATTTGAAGTAACTAATAAGACAAAAGACTTTTAGTTTTGATAGTTTCCGACCAATTCTTTCCCATTCTTTTTTTTTCTAAGATTTTTTTTTTGTTCTTAACCAAAAAAAGAGATTAACTTTGTTTAGTGACTAATAATCCAAATAATTTCAGCTTTAGAACCCTAGAACCTGTTAATGATCGATGCTTTTTTGTTCATCTTCGAATTCTGTCGATTGATTGTGTTCAATCTAGGGGTAGATATTTCGGTTCGGTTTTTTTTAACTATACCAACCGAAAAATGCTTCGATCTTAACGGTTTTAAATTGAACCGTATTAATTTTAAAAAAATTGAATTTCTTAAAATTGAATCGAGCGGACTGGACTTTAAAAAATCTAAAAATCTGTTTTTTTTAAGATCTATTTTTTTAATAAAACCAGAACTGAATTGGAATCAGAATCGAACCGAACTGAATATGATATAATAATCATTAGTACCTATTTTTATAAAACTGAAAGAACCGAATTAAACCATTTCCGATCGAACCAAAGTGGAACCGAAATCGAACCGAAATAAATATACTATAATAACCAATTAGTACCTATTTTTATACAACTGAAAGGACCGGATCGAACCATTCCCAACCGGAATACCGAAGATCACCTCTAGTTCAATCCGTGATCTTAAAATGCATAATCGTTACAAAGCAATTGAAATGGATTTCCGCCAAACCGTTATGGTTTACTCCGGTTTATTCCGGTTCGACTTGAGAACTTCACAATGGAAATGTAGTTGTTTGGTTTAAACTTTGGAACCCAATGCAAAACACGTAATCCAAGTAATTAAATTACAAAATAATAAAATTAGTTATCCTTATATTAAAATTAAATAGTAAAAAGAAGATATGCCTAACCATACCGAACGAATTAAAATTATTAGGACGACACAAAATTAAATTAACCCAATTATAAACATATAAAATTCGGCATTGTATATTCATGCATGGACGGGTAATAGTAAAGGTTTTTTTATCATATTTATTTCAGATTATGACGTCACATAATGATGACATATATGTGGATTGGTACCACAAATTAGGAACACGAGACATAACCATGCATAGATTAACATCATGATTTATTCATTACATTCTAATATGGATGATTTAACCTTAACGCCGTTAACCAACTCACGGCGGTGGCGGCGTTAGGAACGGCAGAGGAGGGAACTTCATGCCGGGGAAAGGGAAACCTGGAACTAGAGAACCCGGCGGAGAAGGGAACGGAAACGGTGGAAACGGTAACGGAGGTAACGGAGCGCCGCCGAACGGAGGGAGGCCGGGGAACGGAGGTAACGGAATGTTGTTAGCGTCGTTGACTACTCGGACAGGTTCGCTAACGGCCGTTTCTTGGACGTTAAGGCGCCGGGCTGCGCCAGTTTCCGGCGAAAGGTGGAGGAGTAGGGTTAGGGTTAGGGTTAGGGTTATGAAGTTGAAGCTGAGTGAAGAAGACGACGTCGCCATTGATGATTTGATTTTGTTGGTTTGGTGTATCACAACGTGAACGATAGTGTGTATATATAGGGAGACGTGCTAGTTATATATGTGTATGTATATATTTTTTGTATTTCTTTTTTAAAAATATTTTTTTGTATTTCATCAATATGTGAAGAGAAAATCCAAAAAAACAATACTGAAATTTATAATTTTGACACAAAAAACACCGAACTTTTTATTTTTATCAAATAAACATTAAACTTTTTAAATGAATTTAAAAAACAATAAAATTTTTAAATGATTCAAAAATATATATAAACTTATATAGGATTGTCAAAAAAATACTAAATTTTTTAAATGATTTAAAAAAATACATGAACTATATACAATTGTAAAAAAAACAACGACAAGAATTTTACGTATTTGCATCTTCTTCTGTCACGTCAGTTCATTTGTTTATTTTGACAATCGTAAAAGAGTTAAATATTTTTTTATAAATTTAAAAAATTTAATATTTATTTGACAAAATCAAAAGTAAAGTTTAGTGTTTTTTTTTTTGTTAAAATTGAAAATTTCAGTATTTTTTTTTTGGATTTTTCCATAATGATTTAATTTGTTTATTTGCTTATATATGGTTTATTATAGTCACATTGTTCAAATAATTGTTATCACAAAACAAAAACGTTTATATATAAATTATTTTTTATTTATACATAAACATCAAAATCATATATATATATATATATATATAAAATTAGTAATTTTTAGCATACAAAATTTATATTAACATATATAAACCTATCAAATATTGTTGTCACAATGTAATCTTTTGGTATGTTGTAGCGAAATTGGTTAAATTAAGATAGATTTGTATATATTTGGAATAAAAAATAATTAGTTTATATGAATAAAGATTATTTTTATTTTTTATATATCAGTTGAATAAACGTATACATTATTATATATATTTTTTTGTCTTTTTAAAAAATTAGATAAGAAAGAGATGAGTGATGTTAAGTTTCTCTTTTCCTATTTTACAGCTGTATTTGTTAATTTTGCAGAGTTTTTGAAAATATATGATGTCTTAAATTTTTGACACACTGTTTAAGAAACTGTAATAAATATGCATTGGTCATCGGAAATATCATATGATATAAGCTCTCTACAATTCCCCCGTTACTATAAATATAATAATTGCAAAATATTGGACAAGATAAATGATATTTTTTTACAAGGGTGTATATGTTTGGAAAATATATCAAAATTAAAAAAAGTTTTAACCATTAATTTTTATCTTTTTATATAATAGATGTCAAGAATGAAATTAATGATACAAAGGTTTTTAGTGTATAAAATAAATATTCGAAAATTTCATATACCTTGACAAATTTAACAACTACATGACATGTGTAAGCTTGTCGGATTCTGCATTTTCCAATATAAAAAAAATGAGTAAATGCGTGTAATGATTTAAAAAATTAAAATGTAACAAGAAACTAAATTTACACACACAAATTCTATATATATATATATATATATATATATATATATATGTGTGTGTGTATATATATACATATATATATATATACATACATATGCATGCGCAATAACATTTGTCTCTCATGCAGCTCATGTTAATAGGGTACATTAAATTGGTATAATGAGGAGGACCGTATTTATTATATGATTCTTGACGTTCACATGTCATAGTCACACATTTTATCAATCATTGTGCCAATTTAATAATAATAATAATTATTATTATTATTATTATTATTATTATTATTATAATGATGATGATGATGTTTCTATTCCATATTTGCTTAGATTGTTATAATAGGAAACATTAAATGTGTTTCCAAAATAACTACAATGATCGTGAAGCCGAGAATTGTCATTTTCTAGTAATTGACAATATATTTTGCCAACTTTATTTCTAAAATTATATATTTCTTTTTTTTTTTCTTTCGGTGAAATCATTAAATGCATTTTGGAAATAAATATGATTATGGTAATAATAATAATATTACATGAGCATTTTTAGTATATATGAAAATAATAATGATAAATTGATAGATATTAGGAATATAGATATATCACTTGGATAAATTATTGGTCTAAAATTGCAAATAAAAATATACTTGGTTGAAAAGCTGTGTATATTTTTTCAATTGTTATTTACCAAAGATTATAATTCGAACGAATAAAATCATCACACACCATTCAAATATTACATTATAAACTGATTTTAATTTATTTTATTTCATTTTTTATGTGTATTTCGATTGTTATTTATATGTGTTTTTAGGTTTTAACAATGATTTTTTCTTCATTCACTTTATCATTTAATTTTTTTAAAATTGCACATAAAAATATACTTGGTTGAAAAGCTGTATATATATATATATATATATATATATATATTTGCAATTGTTATTTACAAAAGATTATGATTAGAATTAATAAAATTGAAATAAAATTCAGTTAATGTGTTTTTTCACTAACCAAAAAAACTACTACATGTGTTTTAAGATTTTAACAATGATTTTTTTTTTCATTTTATCATGTAATTTTTTTAAAATTGAAAAAAAAAACAGCACTCAAAAAACATTTACATGATAAATCGAATGAAAGAATCGCCACTAACACAATCTCTCTAAACCTTAAAAACTACAAACAAAACACACAACAAAAGAATATGAACTTCCTGTCTCCTTCAAGCCCTTTTGCTGTAACGCTCCTTTTCTCATGAAGCCATCTTGAAGATTACAGATACAGGAATGTTCAGAACGTGCCCTCTATCTCCGAACAGCCCGATTTTCCCGAAACTCGCCACCGAGACGTTCTTCCTCGCCCGGAAATCGAACCTAAGAACCCGAGTTTCGCCATTTCGGATAGAAAATCTTGTTGGAGAGACCTTGACTGAGACACTGTCCGGAGCCATGTAACCGACGTTGTAGGTCTCCGTCCCTGCCACGTTAGTCACGGATCTTAGAACGGTCCGGGTGCCAACGAGCCGAGCTATCGTTATCGAGGGTAAGTTCAGATCGAGAGCCGTGACTGAAGACGAGTTATAGGCCGAGCAGCTCTCGCCAGTGTAGTTCAGAACCACCTGAGACGATCCGTTGATACCGCAGAGGAACGACATGTAATAGTCGAAACCTGTAATAAAGATTCGAACTTTATGTGAAAACATATCTAAAGAACTGAACCCTCTACCGAAAAAGCGAGCCTCAGGTTCGAAAAACATGCACTTTTTCCGACATGTTATCATCGAAGCCTGTAAGAAAGAACCAAACTTTGTACGAAAACATGTATCCCCGTATTGATCTATCGGTCGGGATGGAGAACATTGATCTTAATCTCTACAGGATCATATGTATCAACTGAAAAACGAGCCTCGGTACGGAAAACATGTGTTGATCCGAGTAAAAGGTTTCTCCTTTTTCCGAAAACAAAGGCACCAGAAGCTAAAAATCGGTCTTTTTGTGAGCAGGGAACTGGTTTACCTATGTCGAAAACCAAACCCGGGTCAAGGGCTGCAGTTGCATTGACGAAACCGCTGCCCATATCGAAGGGCGTTGCAGGTGATTGGTTCGCATCTGGATCAATATACGAGCGTTCCGCCATTATATGCTCGCCCTTCGTGTCTGATAGAGACGCGGTTGTAGAAAGGGCGGATCCGATGGCTGCAGGGCTCAAATTCGGGAACTTTTGCTTGATGAGTGCAGCAATCCCGGCCACATGAGGAGCTGCCATGCTCGTTCCCGATACCATCGCGAAACTCTCGCCTAAATATCTCGATACCGAGGTCACGTTAACAATCAGAACACAGCAGAGAAGTATAGAAAGGAGAAGAATTATAATTTTAAGTACCTTCAAACTCGACGGTACCGATACCACGAGGATTCCATGCTCCCCATATCGAGTTTCCGGGAGCTACTAAGTTAGGCTTCATTATGTCAGCATCTTTGAAAGAATCGTCCTCCGGGTCGGGTCCTCTGGCCGAGAAATACATTACCTTGGGAGCTGTATTTCCATACATAGGCTTCACTCCACCAACGATTTTAGCAACTGCATTGGACCCGACAATCTTTCTCGTAACGTTTTCCCTCGACAGAGAAGAGTTGTAGTATCGGAGTAAAACCTGCACATATATCGCAAGAACACTGACATCGGTAACTGGACTTGCCAGATTCTGGGTTTAAGCAGAAGACTGACACCCGTTGTCGAGAACTTTCAACCGGTTGAAGCTTCAGAACTTTGGATTTTGAGATTCTGACAAGTAAAATAGGATAGGACCATGAGAAAAAAAATGGAACTTCACCTCGGAATCTTGAGGGGAAGGAACTATGATGCCCGGGATATCCATCGGGGTTGGACCAAGCTGAAAACTCGTGACAGAAGAATCCAAGTAGAACACAAGCCCGGCTGCTGAGAGGTTTTTGGCCGTTCCTAAGGCCTGCTTGATGGTGGAGAGCCCGAGAATGAACCGGACTGTATAGCTGCAGATCAGAAGCTTCCTCTGAACCAGATTTCGATCGAACCTGCTCGAATCTTGGCATTCCCCAACATTTATATCGTCGGTGATGGTTGTGCCGTTGTTCAGTGCGTGAACGGCTAAAACGAGCTTGTGCATTGTTCTCGTACCAGCTACAGTAACACGGATAAGAACAGACATTTGCATATCAGCTTATACCGACAGGAAACGGAAATACTTCCTCTTTGCACAGGCGAAAATGACTGAAAAATGTGTGAGGAGGAACTTACACGCAAGCCCGACTCCAGAAATGGTGATATTGTTTCCGAGGATTATCGAGTTACTGTAAACTCTATCGTGAGATGCAGCCCCGACGGTGAAGATCCATGGACTGAAGGAAGACATGCTCTTAGGGGCTGGTCCAGTGTTTCCGGCTGCTTGCACGACGAAAATCCCGGCTTTCACAGCTGAAAGCAAAGCCATATCGATCGGGTTGAAGAACGTTGCTATCCCGGGAGGGCGCCTATTGGGCGTGATCGAAAGGTTTATTATGTCAACCCCATCTTGAGCTGCCTGAAATGTATCCACATAGTAAAGTTGGCGGCTTTTGTCTGAAAGTTTTCATTACAAAACTCGGGCAAGTTTAACAAACAACGATTATCTCCAATTACCTGATCAATGGCTGCAATGACATCTGCAGCAAAACCTCCAAACCTCTTATACAATGCCTTGTAAACTGCGATACTGGAAAACACGGTAACGAGGTTAAGACAATATTCGTAAATGCAGACCGAGATATATGCGTATATAAAGGGGATATACATCTATCAATGACCGTTTTTGTATTACTTACTGGGCACGGGGAGCCATTCCGCTTGCATTTCCAAAGTGATGACCAGAAACCACCACAAGAATCCCGTGATTTCCCGCTGCAACGGAAGCTGTGTGCCTGCATTTCAATTCTATAACGTCTTAAGCTGTATTTTTCATCGTAATTCATACAAAGGAAATGAACTTACGTCCCGTGACCATCGCCATCAAACGGTGAAGCGTAGTCCTGAGATGAATTGAAAATCCCTCGAGTGATAGCCGATGCAGCGAAATGGCGGGCTCCAATGAGCTTTCTATTGCAAGAACCGGGTGGGAAATCCTTTGTAACTTCACAAACTCCCGTAAAACGAGGAGGGATTGGATACCGATGATTTGCGGATTTGTCACTGAAGCTAGGATGTGTAGGATCAATGCCTGTGTCAACGAAGCCTATAACGATTCCTTCCCCGGCATTCTCGATCCCGCCTTCACGGCGCCATGCCCCTCGTGGCAGTCCCAAGAACTGTGGAGTGTGAGTAGTCGCTATCTTAACGGGAAAATCCATAACCACATTCGCCACTTCTCTTCTCGAGGCAAGTCGTTCCGCCTACGAAACCGATAAAGATTACAACTTTTTAACTCCTTATCTCACCATTCAGAAACAAGGAAGCATTGGATTGAATTCATCAGCACAACAAAGACAGAGACAAGATTCAAGAACATGAATGCAACAGTAAGAACACGTTTTTCAGTTCAGTTGTCCTAAATTGAAAGTACCTGTTGTGGGGTAATGATGACGGCGAATCCATTGATGAGGTAATGGTAGCTGTAGAGCTTAAGATAATTCTCCCCTCTCAACACATTTCTCAGTAGAGATTCATGAACACGAACTATTGACGCGCCTTTTCCCCCCTCCGACCGAGAAATGTTCCTACGTTTACATACAACATTCATCACAAATTCAACAAGATTTGTTTAGGGCATAACAATTTCTGTCCTGAAAACCAGATTCTTCAAGACAGAGTTCAAAAAACACAGAGTTCGTGGTTCTTGGCCTAAATTCATCAAAATTTCCCGGAAAATGACAAAGAACAGAAGCAAACAAGTGGCATACAGTGGTGCTGGGACTAAAGTTGTCGAATTTCTACCTGGGTCGGACCCGGTTGATCAAAAAACATCAAACCCAGAAAAAAATTCATCAGAATTCACGAGAATTCGAAAGAAAAATAAAAACTTGGGTTACATTTCTCAATAAAGAGGGTATTTTGGTGAAAGAGGGAACTTTTCCGGTACCACGTTCTGTAAATTCCGGCAGAACCATGACGAGAACCGACCCTTCTCAGTTCTTCACCGAAGGAATGAGCCAAAGGAGCGTTCTTTAGAGTGACGATGTAGACAGAAGCGGTTGAGTTCTTGTCCGAACTTTCCAAACACAACGCAGACAGAACCAGACAGAGCATAAACACCAAACGCCCAAACGAAGATTCCTCCATGTCTCAGCAAAAAAAAACTTCAGGGAACGGTAAAAAAAAAAAAGGGACAGAGACCCATTACATTACGGCTCCATGGGAGAGAAGAGAAAGTACTCAGAAGGTGAAAAGGGAATAACAAGTGAAAGGGTACATGGCTGAAGAGGAGAGTGAGGATTTTTCTCTCTTGGGGAAGGTGAAGATTTATGTAACGTTTTTCATTTGTAGTCTTGTTTGGTGTCCAAATGTTAAAAGGAATTCTTGGTTTTGAGTTAAATTATGTCTTTTAACCATTGTTTGTTGTCTTTTTTTAACCAAATTATAATATCATAATTTCATTTTTTTTCTTTATTTTGTATTGGTTTTGAGTTAATAATGTCTTTAACCGTTGTTTGTTGTCTTTTTTAACCAAATTATAATATCATAATTTCATTTTTTTTTCTTTATTTTGTATTGGTTTTGAGTTAATAATGTCTTTAACCGTTGTTTGTTGTCTTTTTTAACCGAATTATAATATCATAATTTCATTTTTCTTTATTTTGAGTTAATAATGTCTTTTAACCATTGTTGTCTTTTTAAGCAAATTATAATATCATAGACTTATTTTTCTTTGTTTTTGTCTTTTATTCGTATTTTTTTTTCTCTTTTGTTTTATTTATTTTTTAAAATAGAGTGACTTTTGTCTATTTTCCAACGGTAGGATTCTTTGAAAAGTCGCTGTTTCCTTAAACCACTCGTGACTCTTCTTTGACCATTTTTCTCCCACTATACGTTACCATTTATCCCCCAAACCAAAATAAACCGACACCTAAACCGGAAAACCGGTACGGTACGGTACGGTACAGCATCATCGGGTTAAAGGCTTTTAATTAGAAAAAAAAAGTCTAAAGGCCGTGGTTGCAATGATTTATTATATCACCTCAAAAGAAGTAGGCCCAATTTTATTTTATTATTTTTTTATATTTAATGAAACTCACTTTATATTATTAATGAAAATAATAGACGTTGGAGATCATTTATTTCCTTCTTTTTAGCTAATAAAGCATCGATATCTACAATCATTACAGTCTTATTATGAACCATTTTTATTTATTTAAATATTTCTCTCTATACTTGGATTCGAATTTAGGGTAAAACATGTTATATATATATATATATATATATATTAAAAATACGGGTTTTAGGTTTAAAATCCGTCATCGTATGTGTAATTCCGTTGAACGTCTTAAATATTCGAATATCTATAAATTATTTAATAAACTGAACGGAAAATTTTAGAATTTTTTTGAGAAATTAAAACCCTAAATCTCACTTTTGAACCTTTGATCCTCTTTTTCAACCACCTTCGATCTTTTTTTGCGCCTGTATATTCTTACCTCTAGTGACTGATATAAATATATTGATTTTTTCATATAATAATAATAATAATAATAATAATAATAATAATGATAAGACAATTTCATCATGTATTTGTGAATAAAAAAACAAATGTATATGATATTCGGGTACAACCTAACATTTTCTCATTAACCGGACCGGACCGGAATGCTCTGCTCGTACCGGAAGTAGTTGTCGGGATCGACCCTCGTCTTGACCGAAACCAACCTCTCGAAATTGTTCTTGAAGTACTTCGTTCCGTACACTTTCCCTTCGTCGTACGTCGAATTCGCATTCGTACCGATATCGATGTCTCTATAGTTCAAGAACGCTTCTCTAGGGTTCTTCGACACGTACGGACCCATCGCCTCGAACAGTCTTTCCGTCTGGTTCAAGTAAACATCCGCTATGTCATTGCCCGGTTCGAACCAGTTCGCAGAGTACTGAATCAAGAACTTGTTCCCGGCACGGTGAGGAAACGGTGTCTCCTTGTCGGAGATCTCGCTCATCCTCCCGCCATACGGGTTCCATGCCATCGAGACCTTCTCGTTCTCAGCCATGACCTCGAATATGGATTCGAGACCGGTTTTAGGGATCGGTTCTTGAACGTAATCGGACTTCCTCTTGAGATATATCAGCTGTTTAGGGATCCTTTCGAGCAAGACAGAAGTCGGTGTGTCCTTCGGGATACTGAACATATACAGAACCGATTCGATCCATTTCATCTCGGTACAATCGGTTTTGTTCAGACCCAGTTCGGGAAAACCCGAGTTCATAACTTCTAGAAGCTTCTCCGAACCCCCCAAGAACATTCCCGTGAACGTACCCTTCACGGTCTTGCCCGATTTGGTTGCGTTCGTCACACTCAACGTCAGTCTTATGAACAAATCGTTATCGATCTTGTCCGAAACCTCTTGCCATTTGAGGATTATATTGGTGGCTCCATCTTCCACCGTCCTCGAGACCGTAAAGACAGTAACTTTCTCGGGGACGGGGACGAGTTTTATCTTCCACGCCATGACCACACCGAAACTGGCTGCCCCTCCACCACGTAACGCCCAGAAAAGATCTTCCCCCATTGAATTCCGATCAAGAGCTTTACCGTTAACATCAATGAACTGAGCGTCGACGATGTTATCGACCGACAAACCGTATTTCCTCATCATAGCACCGTACCCTCCACCGCTAAAATGTCCTCCGGTCCCTAACCCAGGACAAAGCCCGGCTGGAAACGCCTTAACATCGCTCTTATTGGCAATGACGTAATAGAGCTCTCCCAGTGTAGCACCTGCCCCGACCCAAGCCGTGTCGAGGCTCGGGTCGAACTCGATGGAACGGAGATTAGACATGTCGAGAAGGACGAAGTCTTTGTCGGAATTGTAGGATAGACCGTCGTAGTCGTGGCCTCCGCTTCGGATCCTCAGCTCGAGGCCTCGAGCCTTGGCGCATAAGATCGCGCCCTGGACGTGAGAGACCTCGCCCGCGGTCACGATCAGGACCGGTTTACGCGTGCTGTCGTTGTAGAAGCGTAGGTTTCGGACGTAGTTTTTCAGGACAGTGAGGAACAAAGGGTGTTTTGGTCCGTAAGTGAGATCGGCGACCGGAATGTTTGGATCTCCGAATCTGTAATGGTAATCATTGAGGCAGTTCCCGAATGTTTGGTCTGGTAAGGATGATTCTGCGTATACTTTTGAAACAATCAAAATCGTTTGGAGGAGGATTATGAAAATTAGGGTTTTCATTTTTTTTTTTGGCGATTTAATTTTTTTTATTGTGGGTTTATGATTTTTGAGGGTATATATATACATATATAAGGGAATGTATAGATCTATGTTTGTCTATATATCTGTTTGACTATTTTTGGTAATTTATCTATTTATATTTGGATTATGATCTAAAGTTGTAATTTTTTACAACTGGAGATTGTGTTATTTATATGATCATCACAATTAGATCTAGAACATATTTTAGTGGGATTTTCGTCTTATTAATTGTATATTGTCTCATTTATACAATATGATTCTATTTTCACGAGGATTTCCCTTATAATTTATATATTATAATATGATTAAGTATAATGTGTTTCTATTTTCATGGGATTTTTTTCCTTATAATTATACATATCATGCCATTATTATATTATAATTCTTTTAATTAAACAATTTAACCATGATATCGCCTTATAAGTATGAAATCTCCCCTTTGGGAAAAATAAAAGCTGTAGGTAGTATACTCTAGTACACCTAATTAAATATTGCCATAGATATATATGCATGTATGTATACACATATATATCATTACTATATATATATATATATATATATATGCATGGTTTTGACCCCAAAAAGAAGGAATATTTTAATTAAAATTTCCTCAATCATGAGAAAGGTGACATATTATAGGGCTTGAACTTCTGTTAAGCTTGTGTCTTAATTTGTAAAGCCAACCACGGTCTGATCCATCTCCTAACCGATCAAACTGTAGTTATATATGTATATGGAAAATCGAAATTAATGTTTTATTAAAATTTGAGTAAAAATATGTAATTTTGTCATTTTCAAATATACATATATATCCAATCTGTAGGTTTTCTAGATTATAATTATAGGAAGTCTAACGATGCTAATTTTATGCTAATTTGATAACAGTTTCCGACTATAGATAGATATCTTGACAAAACTCATCAAAAAAATCTAGGGGCCAGGGGGTTTAATTGGGTTCGGTTATTTTGATTTTAAAAAATCATAATCATTCGATTTTTACATTGAATTTGGTTCTCGATTCAGTTATATTCGATTCAATTATGATAAAAAAAAATACTCGTTTTTTTAAAAGAAATTTACGATTTTTCGTTTATTATTTTTCGATTCGGTTCGAGTTCAAATTTAGTTTTTCCAGTTTTAAAAAAAATCATAACCATTAAGTTTTACATCTAATTCAGTTGGGTTATATTTATATAATATTTGGTTATTAATCAAATAAATCATCCCTAGAAAAATTTAGGGGTGAACGTTTCAGTTATTCGGTTCGGATTCAGTTCGGAAATGATTCGGTTTGGTTCTTTCGATTTTACAAAAAATATATACCAATCGATTATTACATCATATTTCATTCCATCCGGTTTCAGTTGTATTTTTTTATTAAAAAATTATATATTTTTAAAAAATATTCGGTTTTTCAGATTTTTTTTTTAACTCATTTTGGTTCGACTGGAAAATTTGGTTCCTAAAAATAATAACGTTAAAAAATTTTGAACGGTTCGGGTCGGAAAAACACAATCTTTTTCGGTTCGGTATGTATCGATTCGGAAGTGAACTGTCTGACCTTAGAACCTGTGTAGCCAAAAGGACACTTCTTTGACATCTGATTTTGAATTTAGTTTGAAATTAAACGACATTTAAAAAAAAGGTTAAAAAAACAACACATTCAAACGGTAAAAAATTTGATCATATACTCTGATGTTTTCCGAGGAAGAATTTACCTGCCAGATTTTACCAAAATGTCTGCAAAGAAAAAAGATAT